TCAAAATGTAGAACTGCAAATAAGCTGTGCTCTTGAACTCATTCTTTAGATTGAATCATAGCCATGGAGTGGGAGGGAAGTCAGTGAAGGAGGCCAATAAATCTCTCTTGTTATGAAAAAAATGTGAATGCTGCATCTTTTCAATTCTGTCAATGCTTCCATATGGGAAACAAATGCAATAAAACCTTTTCTGAACACTGTTTTGGTGCCTTCTTTACAAACAAACAAAAAAAAAAAAAAGATAAAATTCTATATTCTGTTTGCATCCAAGATGGTAGAAAGAAGAAAGTTGAGAACTTGAGTTTAAAATGATGGGAAACATCTAAAAATCAATAGGACATAAGCTACCTTTTTAAATGTGTTGTCACTGATTGTTTTGAACACATAAGCAAACATTTTAATAATTCCATTTTGTGCAGCTAAAATTGTGTGTTAATGCATCTGTTGCCATGGGAATGCAGGCAATGGCTTAGCTGACTGCACTGAGAGCTTAAAAGAGAAATTTCTTTGGAAGACCAAAGTATTTAGTAATAACAGGTATTGGTTGGAAAGTTAGAGAATCTCTTATGCAGAAGTGAGGTCCACTGAGCTCACTGAAACGTATTTCAAAGCAATTCAGCATAGATCTGCATCTTAGTCTGCTTGTTAATAGCTTATTTTTGATGATGGCTATCTTTATGTTCAGAGGGCCTTGGAAATGATTGAATTTGGTCTTCCAAGGCCTTATTTCCTCTTTGAATGAATGAGTTCGCCAGGCATTTGATGGGGTTCATCTTAGACTGCTCTTCAGTGTACCATTGTTCATTTATTTCTAGTTTCTACCCATATCTGGGTACATTGTAAGAGATACAAACTTGCAGTTGCACAATTGAAAATGGTGTTTATTGAGAACATGGATTTTGAAGATGAGCTTAAATATTCTTCTCTGTTAAGTCATTGATCAAGAACCTTATGATGGATTCCTGGAGGAAGTCCTAAAATGGCTGGTGGCAGACATTCAAATATTCAGAGGGACATGGCATTGAAATTCTTTCCTTAGGAAGGCTTGACTTTTGCTCATGCTGAAGTATTTTCACTAGTGGTTGAAGGTCTTTTTATTTTCCCCAGCCTTGGAATGCCTGATAAGATTATTTATTGCTTTATTGATTGTGCTATATTATGGCATTGTGATGCTAATTTTGAGGGATTGCCCTGGAATTAGTTATATGGAAAAGTAGTAAATCTATTAAAATTTCAATATATAGTCTTGAATAGTTTTGTTGGAAGGTGGGAGTGAAAATCCTGAAGTATACTAATAAACCTTTCTACCTCATAATATGAATCCTACCATCACTATGGAACCTCATTTCAAAATGTATATTCAAAATCCTATATTCTTTGAAATTAGGGGTCTATATATTTTGAGTCAATCTTATAGCTAAGCTAAAACATAGGGTAGCCAGCATTGTGCCCCCTCCCCTTGTTCCTGATCTTGCATTGCATGAAACGGAGGAAAATCTTCTGCTTTTCCCCTTCTAGAAACCCTTTCAAGTATATTGGTCTTGGGGGAAATTGCCAGCCCTGTTGAGAATGAGCGTGGCAGTTGCTTCCAGCATGACCCGTGAGTCACACCAAGAACAACGGCCACCATCATTGCCAACAACCCTCATCTCCACCTCTACACTTGGAACTGGAGGAAGGGGTAAACGTTGTGTTGGTGTGGCATTCTTTTCCCAGCTTGAAGCAGGAGAAAGAGGCAAGGCGGTTTAACATATTTGCACAAGTGCAGCGTGGGGTGATCCTCATCCATCTGCAGTTGCAAGCTGAAAAGGAATGCTAAGGCAAGAGTTACGAGTGGAATTGTGGTCTTCAGAATTTAATCTGTGTTTTGTTCAGTTGAGAGCTCTGTGTTACCATTTTGTTTGTACATTGAACTGAGCCCAAGGCATCCATATAGATAGCCGTGTAGCACCTTAAAAACTAATGCATTTGTTGTGGCGTATGTTTTTGTTCTGGTTCTCCAAAGCTGCATCAGCAGTTGCTGCAATAGATTTATTATTTTTGAAGATGCCACCAGCTAATGTCCACCTCTGGCCATTCAGTAAGGCTACCTGTTCATGAATAAAATGAGGCTGGTGTCAAGGCATGATCTAGCGTTGAACTAAAAATACTGTATGGTGATCCATTTTATACATGTTTGAATTCTCTCATTTGTCTTCATGTTTTAAACAGATAGATAAATAGAGGCAAGGAATAATATGAATCATACATTGCAGGTCCCCAAAAGAACTACTTTTGTGGTATATGTAGAATCCTGTTTGTTCTCTATTGTAAGTGCAAGTGGTGTTTGTGTTTCAAATTGGGTTGGCTGCCTATTGGTAAATGTAAGAGAGGTTCAGAAGCTGAGAAAACACTTGAAACTGCTGCAATACAGTACTTTTCTATTTCTCACCACTAGTTACAGTATATTTTCAGACACTGCATCTATGGAAAATTCTAGCACAGATCTCTGCAGTTCAAAGCAATTCCACCTAATGCAATTTGGTTCTTACAGGGAAAACAAAACCTGAGATTTGGCTCATCTCCAGGTATTACTTCTCAGGGCACACAAATAAAAAGCATGCCTTATCAACCATGGAGGCGTAATCTTTGTTTAAAAAGGAGTACTAAAAGGCAGCTCCAGAATGTTTCCCAGCTGTGATCTCAAAATGTTGGAGCGTTCACAAAAATGGTGATGTCAAAAATCTAAAAAAGTGTTTCATAAGAAATGGTTGTGTGAATAGCCCATTGCTTTTTTGCTGAGTATAACTGCAGGTTTTTCAGTGCAGTACTTTTCCCATTAGCACAATTCCAACGTGCTTGTGGCATCTCTTCGTAGTGGCTTGCCCAGCATATTGAGGTAGCTTTGGAGCAGAAACTCTCATCTGTCATCTGTAATCAGGTTTTGGTTCTGTAAAATTCAGGCTAGAGTATAAGCATTAGGAAGAGATTGTCTTGTGAAATCAAACAGATTTCACTCTTATTTTTCTACAGTAAGACTGGAAAATCCAATATAAAATCAACAAGCTATTGACCCAAATCCCTAACCATATTTTCAGATTTATGCTTGCATATGGACTTCACATTTGTTTGCTGTAAAAGCCTTAACAAGTTCCTCTCTCTTTTTTAAAAAAAGTCTAAACATTTTTAAAGCCTTGTACTGGCACATCTGTTTCTTTTAAATAGGCAACACCAGCTCTGTTTTGAAGAGCCCCTGTAGGAAGTAAATGGGCAAGAAGCATTAAACCTTGTTCTGAACTGTTTCCATAATTTTTCCACAGCTAGCAAGATACAAATAAAACTGATAGCTACCATGGAGCTACAGTGGTTTTCCCTGTTCCTCTCAGCAGCCTTGGATATCCTAAGGAAAGAGGTTGAATTATTTGCACCACTGCCATGGAAGTGGGACTTGCTACTTGCTGTTACTGTGATCATTAGGGTAATCCTTTTCCTCATTGACAGCAGCAACTCTCTTAGGTATTTTAAACCTTTGCACACACACATCAGTGACACTTAACTGTGCTTTTCATTTCTGCTGGCTTTGCCTGATATATGGAAGTGCTAACTCGTCATAGTTGGTAGACAACTTCATGGGGAGCTAGTCCATTGCCCTAGCAAAACTTCCATGGATCATTGGAGCTTGACAGTGGCTGGGTTCACAGAACCTAGTAAACCAGAATCTAAGTTGAGTGTGTGCTGTCATTGAACCATGGATGGTTCTTGAATTAGGGGGTTTTGTGTTCTGTGGACCAAACCATGCTAACAAACCAGGCTTGTTAACTGTTATCAAACTTGGAAGCTAACCCATGGTTTGTTGTTGGGCTGTGAACTCTGGGTTGTTCTCCCTGGTGAGCTACTCATAGTACAAAGGTGGCTGCACACAGTGGCAACCCATTATTCAACAATAACCCATATTGGGGGTTGCCGTTACACACACACCAGGCCATAGTATCTGAAAAGACCCCTCTTCTTTTAATCACATGTACAGTGGGCTCTTCTCAACTTCTGCTTTTTCCAGGATTTTTGATCATTTGAAGAAGAGCTGTTTTCACATGCATATGAGGGATTCTTTTCAGCTGGTACGGTGGATGTGAATGAAAATGTCAAAAGCTGCTGCTGTCTCTGCCTGATTTTGAAAAAAACAGCTAGAACAACTGCTTTTGCTTTGATGAAGTTCATGCTAGGTCTGTAGTACTTTTTGGACTGGTAATGCAAAAATTGGTAATGCAGAAAAGCCCACTTAATTAAATAGCCCCTGCTGAGTTGTTCTGTTTTAACACAAATAACTTTCCAATACCTGTTCCCAAACCAGGCACCCTTAAAAGATGATGTCTTTTATTATATGTGAAGAATTAGATCTTCAAATAAGGTATCTCTTGTCACAAATAGACGTCTGTTCTAAAACACTGCTGTTTTTCTTCAGAACTGTTGCTTAATTTGCAACCTGGAACATCTTTAATAGCTTGAACTTGTACTATTAATTCACTAGGTTTTCTTTGGTTTGGTGACTGCCCTAATAGAATATTCCTGTGTGAAAAGTCAAAAACAGAGTGTTGGACACAAGCCATCACAGGCAGATGGATTCTGTTGGCTTTTCATGCAGCAGATCATAAAATCATTGATTAATGAGCCAACCCCACAAAGTTCATGCTTGTGGCCAAGAATTCTGGACCTAAGAAAATCTGGCAACCCTTGCTGTAGTATTGTGAATCTCCCCCAGATAGGTGTGAAAAACACCATTTTGGCCTTTCACCAGAGTGAGGGGAATGTGCCTGAGTCCTTTTCTGGTCAAGGTACTCTTGAATTTTCCCTCCTGTTTTATTTCTTGCTGAAGGCTGTCCGGGCCATTTGTTTCTTTCTTCAGAAGCCTTCATATCCTCTGGCGAGGAAAGATCCTAGACTGCTTTGATGCTCTTACCATGTCCCAAGTGCTGTGGTGCTTGGCTGTAATGAATAAACCCAACCTATTTTGTTTTCTGCAGGGCATAGAGCGACTTAAAAAACAGGAGCCAACTTGGGAAAAAGTCAGCGGCTGGGAAGGGATGAAGCTGGCTTTCGGGGGTGATCTTTCACTGCGATGGTTCAGTCCTTTTTCAGACCTGAGTTGCAAGAAGTCTCCGCCAGCCGGCACAGCAACTGTTGCTCCCTCCGAAATGGTGGTGCAGGAAGCTTTTGAGCAGCTTTCTGATCAAGAGGTGGTTGTGGATGTGTTATGTGAATGATGCAAAGTGCCCTTATTTACTTTTGACAAGTGTGCACTTGAGACTAATTTTCAAGGGTTCCTGATGCATGAAACCAAGGAAGCTTTATTGGTATCCTGTCCAAGAAGCTTACTAAACAAAAGCAATGCATCTACATTCCTATTACAATGTTGCGCTGTGCTGCGAATGGGTTAACCAAGTTTCCAGAACTGTCCCATGGAAACACTAACAATTTGTCTAAAGTCAACCATTCCTAAAAATAGGTAATAAGAAACCTGTTTCAGAGTCAGACTACCAAACCTTGGTTAACCCCTACTGATCCACTAGCTGGGGTGGTATGGTTCACACAAGGTACAGAGTTTGGCCAAGAAAACTGAGCCAAGGAGAAAAATCTGGCTCCAGGAATTTGACTCTGCGGGTCTAACAAAACCTTGTTCTCATTCCTGCTCCAGGCATTGAAACCATTCATTTTACATTGAAGTCCCCACGGAGTCTTAATATGATACACATGATTGCTAGAAGTAATGGTTCTCTTGTGTCCAGAATGGTAAAGATTTGGTGCAAAGACCACTTGCTAGCAAAACCAGGATTGATTATGACAGTTGCAGTTGTAGGAGAAAAAAGTTACGATTAATAGGGTTGGTAATGATAGATAAACGCTACACTCTGTTGAACTCTTAATGGTTGGAATCAGTCATTAGAACATTTGTTTGCAAATGTGCTGTTGATCCCAATCTCAAATGCATGTTGCAAATGAGTATAGATTTGTAGGGACAATGTTAATGCACTCTGAGTCTCAAACTAGTTGTTTCCTGGAGCAAAATGCTGAAGGATGCGGCACAATGGTGTGTGTCTCTGCAGGCACAAACAATAATGATAATGATAATTGTAGTGACTGCCTGATTAGTTAGGTAGCAAAACCATGAGCAAATACACATGTATAGCTCAGAAGACTACTTAATTTAAATGTTTAAAGACATGGTGTATCTTTGAAGAAAGCATGATGGGCAGGGAAAGTTTATTTCAGGGCCCAGTGAATGGTCTGGAAGCAACGGATCCAGCAGTATAGTTGAAACTGACATGGTCAGTAACCTGGGAGAACACTGGCTCACCATAGATATTAAAATTAGGGGCATAGCTGAAAGCAGACTTGAAAGATTAGCTGAATAGGTTTCTCAGTCTTGGTTGTGTCAGTGTTTTTCAGTGTTGTGCTGTTTCTTGCCTTATGAAGCTTATCCTTTGGAAAAGCATCAAGTCTGTTTAGTGCTTCCTGTTTACTTCCTGTAAAATAGGGAACATGGTGGTGAGGAAATCTTTGTAATATATTAGCTTAGTAGGGCTAGGATCTGACAAACTGATTTTCTTGATATGCAAGGAAGCTTTGGGTCTAATGTTTAAACATCTGTTCTTCAACATTAGTGTCAACTGCATAGAGTGTATGGCAAACCTTCTTGAAATGGCATGGCGTTTCAAAAGTGTTGTATGATCTGGCATTGAGGAAAAGGATTTGCTTATCAGAGTTAAGGGGGAAAGACAGAAATACATCCAAAGTATTCTAACCTTTTCTTACAACGTTAAAGCTTTATTTATGAAACTGAAAAAAATATTTAAAAACCCAGCAAGTAGTTTTCTGCCTTTCAAAGAAGTAACTAAAAAATGGGCCAGGATTTTCACTGTTTAGGGCTATGAAACCTTCATAGCATGCATACCTATAAAAGGGAAAAAATGGCCAGCCTAGGGTTGTCCTGTAGAATTCAAGAGTTTTGTGTTTTCCTTTAAACTCCCTGTTAAAGCTGGAAACCAAGCAGCTGCTCCTGCTTATGCATTCTTGTTCCTTTTTGCTTGTTCTCCTTCCCCATTTACAGTCATGAGCAGGATCCTTGTCTGTCACTAGACGCTGCATTACACTAATCAGATTGTTAGCCTTCTAGCATGGTACAACTCTGGCTGGCAGCATATCCCCAAGATGGAGATTGGTGCCCAGGATCTACTTGGAAAGCTCGCATTTCTGTTTCTAAGGATCTTCAGCAGCCACAGGTAGGAGAAATGAGCAGAGAGCTGGGAACCAGTTGAATGTCCTCTAGGTTGGCCTTACTGGCTGGGGATGATGGGAGTTGTAGTCCAAAGCATCTTTGGGGCAGTCAGTTGGGGAAGCCTGCTATATAAAGGGAGAGGAAAGGGATTGGTACTCATTGGACTGGGTCCGCAGCTGGTGAACAAGTGCAAGGCCCTTCCAGCTCGAGAATGCACTCTTGATTTATGCTGTTAGCCGTCCAGAGACATTGGTAATTGGACAGCATACAAACTGAGATTGAAAAGAAGAAAATGTTCGACATCCCACTTTTGGTAGTTCTCCTTGCAGGAGGACCCTGCACCTCTTCATGTGCAGGTTTGCAGTGGGGTGAAGGGGAAACTAAATTCTTTCTCTGGGTCATATGAAGGAGGTGGCCAGGGTATAGGTTACATTTGTGACACATGTTTTGACAGAAATCTAGGTATTTCATCTTTCCCTCTGTCAAGTTTTATATAGTTGTGGAATTCAGTTGTATCTCCATCACCTTTTGTGTCTTTTCTGTACCCCATTGAAAACAGATAAAGAAGTAAGAGGAAAAATCAAGCAATAGTTACACATTGAGATTCTGTTGTAAGGTTCTTACAGAACAATTTCCATACTGCATAAAAGTGCCTTATTCGAGTCTAGGTGGTTTTTATAAAGCTTTACATAGAGAACTGAGACCAAATGATTTTACCAGATACCAAGGTTAATCTATTAACCAAAGCTTTCTAATTTTTGCCTTCTTTCTCAAACCATTTTTGACATGGTTATGCTTTTATCCACGAGCCTGTTAGGCTGGAGCCTAAGAAGGTGCTTCAAACTTAATAGTCTCTCAATTTGGGAATCCAGTGTTTACATTGCTAAGTGTATTACTGCCTATTCTGTGTAGCTCCATTGAAGCCAACAGAACAAGCCTGCCTTAAAATGCCTCACATTATGGATCTAAGTATTTGCAAAAGGAAATCTTTGGAGGGGGAACTGAAGGAAGGAAATGCTGTCACGGTGCTAAGCTCATCACAAGGCCATGCTATTGTGCAGCCAGTTAGCCTGAGTTTTTGTTTCAAACCAGCAGAGTGAGACAGGCCACTGTTGTGAAAGCATGGTAGGATTAAATGTGTCTTTCTTCAAAGACTGCAATAAATGATCTCTTGGGGCTTAGCATGTAGGGAAAAAATTCTTGTATTTTTGTGAGCACTTTCAGGCTGCAACAATTGCCGTCCTATGCAATTAAAGTGTATGTATTTACCAATGCTGGTGTTCTATTTTTGCTCTTTGTATCTCATTTTCTGACTTCTACTGAGTATAGTAATTATTAAAGAATCACTATTTTCATCTCACATGTGTTGTCTTATATATTTCCAATGATCGTAAAGCCTCTATTCTATGGGAATTTTGGAACTCAGTTTCCATCCATGCTAGTCCTCTCTTTGCAACATCATACACCAGAAACATCCATAGGTTTTGTAGGGTCAAAGGAGTGAAAAATCCATCACATTTAAGCTTTTAAGCAAGTTGCTACCTCTGCACACCAGCCCACACAATCTGGACCATAGGATGCTGCAATTACAGGAGACGTCCAGTGCAAAGTTCTTTCTGGTACTGCTGATATAAAGAAGCCATGACATGTGCTATGAATGAAGATCTTCTCCAGCTCAATAGTCAAACAAACTTCAGAAAAAAGTTCCTGAAATGGCAATAATTTAAAACACTTGGGCTGCTCAAAGGCCCTCTGTTGGCAGATCCAAGGAGATATTTTATTGGGGTACAAGTCCACACTATTCGGTATCCTATCAAAGCTAAACAACTAGCCCTGGTGGAACAGGAGATGGCATCTGAGGAGCTTTAGATTGCAGCAGTTACATGGCCTTGTAGGTGGACGGAAGGGGGAGAAGCTCGACAGAACACCTGTCATAGTCCACTTAGGGTGGCCCACTCAGCCAGACCACACTAACTCCATCTTACTCAATGTTGAAAAGAAGAAACCTTGAACTTACCATTAATTCTTGCTGTCTGCTAAAAACAGAAGAGAAACTAGTAGCTACAGGCAAGATGTTGGTCTTGTGATGTCAGTTGAAGGTAAACAGAACTCTCAAACCCATTGAGAGAGTTTCAAAACCCAAACTTGAGAGTTTGGGTACCTGGGAAAATTGCCCAGGTGCCCAAACAATGAGGCTGCATCAAGAACTCTTTCTCAGAGCTAGAAAAGAGGGATTGTCAGAAAGTCAACAGACTCAAGCAATAAATACTTCTGGAATCTCCACCCTGAGTGCTGGTGGTGAGGATGGAAGGAGAGAACTCCACTGGGAAAGAACCTGAGGTCTTTTTTTCTTGATACTGATGTGAGGAGTAACATAACCCATGTAAGCAGAGGAGATGCACCTGCCTCTAGGTAAAAATGCTAGAGTGCAGGGCTCGGAGAAAGAAATGGCAGGACTCAACCAGGCACTGGAGGAATCCCACCACAGAGACCATACATTTTCAGAGCTGACCACAGGGCTATAAATCATTAGACTGTGATTTTCTGTTTTCCTGCTTGCCACTAAATTGTCACTTTAAACCACTAACTGCTTTGTGCTCTGAAACTGACCAACCCTTTTCCTAGGCTGTGATCTTTGCCAGAATTCCTAATAAATCTTTTGCCGTTTCCACCAAAACCCAGACCAAGTGCTTTGAGGATGAAAGGGTGGGGAGTGGGGAGATTTATAAAGGAGTGCCCCAAGTTGTTGATTATGCTAACACTGATTTGACAACCAAGTTGTATGCAACGCTGAGAAAACCGTATAATCTATAAGCTATGCTTCCCTAAGAACACAAGAGTGCTGTTAAGAAACCCAATGAAAGGATCTTTAGCCAGTCATTTCCATGGGGGTGAAAGCACTTGAGAGTAGGAGATACTGGGTTTGCTTTATGCTCAGTGGTGGCAGCCTTGGCTCTGCTATACTGGACTTGCACCCATAGCTGGGGTGCCCACAAGCACCAGGTCAAAGGTGCCCTAAGGCGCATTTTGAGAGCTCTTTGCTAGGTGATGTGGGAGTTCCATTCCAGCTAGAATATTGCCCTACTGGTATTATCCGTAGATGTCACGGGCACTTTCACTTTATATTGTGCATGTTTGCTGTGTTCCCACCTTCTGACTGGGTTGAGCTTAACCCTGTGGAATGGTGCCTAACATTTTTCTTTGAAACACTTGTCCACTACTATTGTATGCTGATGATGTTGTTCCACTGCCATTATCAAAATTAGGTCTTAAATGCCTAATGCATGCATTTATGACCTATTGCAAGGACAACCCATTGACCGCAAATATTACTAAAACAAAAATCATGGTCTTTCATAAGCATGTGGCACCAAAAAGTGGACAACGGATGGTCAATGTATTGATCAAGTCAAATTCTTTCAGTATCTGGGCATAGGCTTCACCACAATCTTTCCTGGGCAACCCATAGACAGTCTGCAATATAGGAAGCCCAGAATATGATGAAGGCCATCTCTCACTTTTTCTTTACCGAAGGGGGTCCATTTATACCCGCTGCCATCCAAGTATTTAAGTCTAAGGTCTGCTATTCATGTAGTTGGCCTGAGCCACAACATGACTGCAGCCCTTGATTTTGATCCAATGCTTTGCTTTGCACATAGGGCCATTGGAAAGGCAGCCCCGCATTCTCGTCTGATGGCCAGCCCCACCTTCCAGGTGCGTGACCTTGCACATCTCCCGTGCAGGTGCTTGGACAGAGATCATGAAGGTGGAGGGGAAGTTGCTTACCTACAGCTACAGTTCTTTAAGAGGTTCTTTGTACAGTAGTGAACTGAATGGGGAGATTTGAATCTTTACCTTTAGATATTAATACTGGATCTTAGAACCATACTTGATACCCCAAAAAACTAGAATGCTCTGAAGACGCTCAACTCAGGCTTTTTTCTCATGCATGGCCATCCAGGGACCACTCAAAGAAGGGGAACATGGTTGCTTATTACTGTCAGGGATTTCTTCACTGTAGACCACTGGCAATGGCTACAGTTATGTATCACCCTTTTGAATGTGATGATCGTGCATTCCTGCATAAAGAGCTTCTTAAACAATTGTACGCAGCTGCAAAGTCATGTAAAGTGTGTTAGCAGAAAGTCTAAAAGCAACCAAGCCAAGATCAGCAGGTTGATACAATTTGGGAGCCTCAGCCTACAATGTAAAGTTACTCTGTAAGTGCAGCAATCAAGAGATCCTACTTTTAAGGGAAAAAATGGCAACATGGTTTATTTTCATTTTGCATGCTGGAGCTCTTCAAACCCCTGATCATATTTCAGCCAAGTCCAGTTGCCCATTTTTTCTGGTTATTATAACCAAAATAAGATACATTTACATATACATATTTATATGTATACATATAAGGCTCCACTTATATCTTGTATAAATTATATTTTTTTACTCTTTCATTAGGACTTGAACTCCTACTTAGGATGTTTTACTGTAGCTGTTTCAAAAGCATATTGGTTACAGACCAACCATTATGATTAGTTAATTTCTTTGTTTATTGATCTTGTCTGTTATTATGTATGTTCTTTTTGCTGTCTTTATTTTGTTGCTTTATTCTGAAATAACAGTTTATCAAGGAACTTCAGTTAATTATGTTACATGTTTCAAAACATGTAATATTTCTAATACAATCCCATCATCTCACATTTCACCTCACAACTGCAAATTAAGGAAAGCCAGATGCCTCAGATTATGAACCAGCTGTTATTTTTATTTTATCTTTCTGTTCTTCCTCAAACTTGCTTCTTTTTCTAGAGAAAAAATAATCAATGGGAAGAACACAGATGCCAGTAACATTTTTGTTGCCATGAAAAATATAACATAAAGAAAAGCTCACCTAAAAGGAGTCCCCAGAAGGATTCAGAAAACGTAAATGAAATGGAGATTTTGGAGGTTACACAGTGGAAAAAATTCCCAAGATAAGCCAAGAGCCATACATACTGTTTGCCAAAGAAATTTTGACATTCTGGGCCAAGAGAAGCGGAATCCTGCTATCTCTGTAGGTTATTCAGATGTACAGAATTTAATTTTGCTTCCATTAAGCAGGAGAAGCAAGTATAGTTGCAGCAACCCTTCATGTACATCTGGATGGGTGAGTTGCACTGTCTGTTCACCTGCCAAAGATTCACAGGGAAGTATGGAAATGAATGCAAAAGATGATGCATCTGTTGTGCAGGTGACTAAAGCACAGTGGATTTCAATTCCTTTTGAAAGTAAGGTTTAAAGAGAAATGTAACATGGATAAGGAGGTAGAATGGAGAGGTGGAGGTAGAATGGATTGAGAGGGGTTAGTTTTTCTTTGATAAAAATCATGAGACAAAAGAAGATTGAACTTTGCCTCTAGGCAAGGATGGGTAGAGTGTTTTCAGCTGAAAGCTGAAAAGTCGACTTTCAGTAGAAACATACCAGGGCTAACAAATGCAATTGACACTGCACTGCAGGTTGCTTATTCCAGAGCATCATCATTGACATTTAGGGGTATGATTAAACTGTATTCAGCCCATAAAGTTAAGCTACAGGTTTCAAAATGTTAGGCACAACCTAACATTGTAATGTGAGCTGCAAGGAAAGCTGGATGTGTTTATCTTCTGTGTCATTTTGAATAAATGCTCGCAGTTGCTTGATGTTTTGCTTATTAATAAACCACTAAAGTGACAGAGAAGTGTTTTTAATGTTGAAAACTGAACATGTCAAAGCTATAGCTATATATTGTTACATAATACATAGCAAAGGCCTAATTATTTGACCTTTTTGGAGATGTAAAAACCTGACCGCTAATCCCTAGGACCTAATATCACATTTGACTACCAAAAGCTTATTTAGGAGGTTTGCTGTACTTCAGTCTTCCCCAACCTGGTGACCTTCAGAGGCATTTGGACTGCAATTCCCAGAATTCTCATCCAGCAGGGCCATTGAGTGGGAATTCTGGGTGTTGTAGCCCAAACGTGTCCGGAAGACACAAGGCTGGGCAAGGGTGTGGTACTTGGTAGTAAGGGAAGGAAGATGTCCTAATAGAAGGGAAGCAAAACCAAAGCTTACACTGTAGCAGAAGTGAACTACAGGAAAGAGCATTATTCTCTCAAAGGCCCAATCGGAAACAAAAGGTTTCTGGGGAAAATCAACAGTCTTGAAAACTGGCTACATATAAATGACCTCTCCGGGTACAATCCTATGGTCTTCCAACAACATTGGAAGAATTATTTGGAATCTACATTCTTGCCCTGTCCCCTTGCAGCCAGTATGAAGAGTTGCACTGGCTTTTTGCAACCCAAGGTTGCAGTTGGGCCTTGGAGGAAGGAAAAATGAGGAAAGCTGGAGGCTGGGGCCATGGATTAGTGCTGATTCCAACTGATGTTCCAGATTCCTTTTCTCCCCTTCCTTGGCCCCGAGTTTAGATGGCAGAAGACCGATAACAGGCATGGCAACAGCAGTGCCTTGTCTTGAACCTTGGGTGATCAGAAGCACCTGTGTTTGGAGGCTCACAGGGGCAGCAGGACTGGTCCCTAAAGCAACACTGTGGAATTGTGCCCTGGCATCTTTAAATGAAATATTCAAGGAGCTGATGTTTGGGCCTCATGTTAAGCCTGTGTGTTGAATACAGCATACGCACAGTCCTGGTTAAAACCATACAGCCCAACACACTGAATGATGCATCTCTTATCATAGGAAGGAAGGTTGACTACTTTCAGCAGGGTAATATACTACCGTTAAGCCTGAAAAGGAGAAGCAGTCAGAAAATGGCAGCATCAACAGCTGGCAAAGCTAAGTAAAAGGGCAAGGAGGTGTGAGCATTGTGGGCGTTAGGCAAAGCCAGCACTGTTTGCAAACAGCAAACAAAGCCAGCTCCTTCCTCAGACTGTCTGCATTATGCTGCTCCAGATTTCACAAATCACATTCTTAGTCATCATAAGCTGTCAAATCTCTACCTATCCAAAAGCAGATCTGAATAATCGCTATTAAATTCTCATTAGCAAGCAACAAAACAGCTCTAGCCTTAAGCCACTTAAATTCTTTTAGATTAACATTTATGTTGCCTCCCTCTCATCTTTTGGCCCATAAGCAAGGCTGCAAAGAGTATTAGCAAGGCTTATACAGAGCATATGCCTCTACTGACACCATCTGATGGCATTGAGAAATGGCCCTACTCAGTGATGGAAATAAACTTTTCTACAGTTATTCCTTTTAGCTGGTTGGAGTTCAGTTTAGCCACTATTTTTTTCAGCCCAGTTTTCCTTGGAGCACATACAATCATGGATTTAAATATTCCACCGGGTGCAATGTCCCTAAAAAAAGAGAAAAATAAAATGAAAAGAGTACATAACGTAGATTCTCTTGGAATCGCTTGGATTCTCTGTACACAAACTTCCCAATCAAAATCCCTCTTACACAAAGAGGTATTCCCTTTTGCTACAAGGGAGGGAACATCCATGACCCCATGTACCAAGCATGGCACATCCACAGAGCATTTTCTGCATCAAAATGAAAGGGAAGTTCCTTGCAGATGACTCCTTGTATGGGCCCAAGTTGCTGCCTGTGCCCACAAGGAATGGGACAATGGCATGGTGAAAACAGACCCTCGATCCACCCAACATGCGGCTTCTTTAGAGCTCTGTGTCATGCCATGTTTACCAACTATGTGCAAACACACAGCAAGGCACCCACAGCATGCTGCCAGCTGTTGTAGAGGATTGACCTGCAAAGATCTGGAACAATTTATCTACTACATGAATTTGAGCTTAATCACAAGCCTCTGAAAATAGATGTGTGGATCTGTCAAACTGGAGCACTAAGGCAGTCCACCTAGGACTAAGTCTGTATGAATGCATGCAAGCAAGCAGGCCTCTTTGGCTCACAGACTTCCCTTTGGATCAGATCAGTCAAGTGCATAAAGTCCTTCATGACCTGAGACACAAGCATCTCCACCCAGATCACTCCAGTCACCTGCATAGGCCCTTCATTGAATGTCCTCGCCATCTAAAACGAGGCAGCTGGGTACCAACATGGATGCACTGCTTCATCTGAGAAACTCTCCCGAGGGAGACTTGACTGGTAAAAAAGACTTTAATGTTTGACCATGCACTCCAACTTTTTGCTGTTTGTAATTGTCTGTTTTAGTTTTCTCTTGTTGGATGTTCTTGAAGCTGGAAGGGTTTTGATTTGCTTGTTATTATTTTGTTAGAATAGAAAAGAAAAGAAGTAGAGTGGGAAGGGCCTATAAGGCCATCAAGTCCAACTCTGCTTCCACTGTGGTCAACCATCCAGCTAATAGCCTACACCTTTCCTGCTTAGCAAAGGTAACCTGACATACTAGCTTGGTGAATAGCTATTCAGGCAAGTTAACGGCCCTGGACATATTCATATTGGTGGGTAATATACAAATGGACAAAGACAGGAACAGTATGGCTGTTCTCAAAGAAATGGTGGTGGACTCGATGGACATTTGTTCCAATACAACGTGAAAATTCCTCCATGGTTACATTTGTATGGAAGTGGTACCACAGTGGCCTCATCCCCTGACATTATGTGGCCCATGGAGGGCTTGGTTGGAATCAAGGAATCCTCAGGTCACCCATCCAGATTTCAACCCAGCCTGACCTTGCTTAGCCTCCAAGATTAGGCAGGATCAGGCACCTCCACCTATATGGGCAGAGCCATCTAAGCTCATACCCAGTTAAAGTTCTCCACTGTTGATCCTTCTAAAACATCCCCATCCTCTACAAACCCATTCAGATTTAACCTCCCAGTTAAGAAGGAGACAAAGAGCTCTGTGAGAAAGATATGCCAGAATGTGGATCAGCCCCACATTCATCTTACCCTTGATCGAATATTTCCATCATAAAAATGCCCAGGCCTTCTACATACAGTTTGCAGTTTTCCAAGGGAATGGATAGTGTATTCTTGAATATAAATGCACAAGTAAAATCCTGATTGATCTTTGCAGTTTCTGCCATCTGTAGAAGAAAGAAGAGTCACAAAAGTGCAGTTTCAGTCAAAGAAACAAGTGAATGTGATGCACGTAGATAATATCACTGTAGCCTTCATCCTCATAAGGATGCTGAAGGCACAAAAGTAGCAATAGAGAATGGCTCCTACCCATACGGTGAATTATGGGGCCTGTTGCTTGCTTCACTGTACCCTGTCAGGAGCCTTTCAAAAGTCTGTTCAGGCTCTTCAGAATCACTCCCTAACTGAACATCAGGGCTATTTCTGTGTCAGTAAAATTGGGAGGGAAGGCAGGTGGCCCTCCAAATGATTTGGCCTACAATCACCATCAGCCTTGGTTAGTATTGCAGTGGTAATGGATGATAGGAGTTGCAGGCCAAAACATCCGGAGGGCCAGAGGTTGCCCACTCCTGTGGTGAAAGCACATGGTATGCCACGTTTCCTCCATGTCCAGTCCCTGCCCCTCCCCAAGTGCCAGAAGATGGGATGAGTGAAGCCCTAAATGTCTAAGACGCCCACATTTTGGCCAGCTTACTCTGAAATAATTCCGTGGAACATCTTCTCTGCTTCTAGAGTACTTTTTCATCTATTTATGATTTATTAATTTTACTCTGAATTTTAGCTCAACTACTCTGAGGTTATGTAAATAGCAACCCACATGCTACCTCATTATTGAGTTGCTCTTATTTTAGTTCTTTACCTCCACTTTGAGCGGTGGGTACTGAAAGTTCAGAGTCCACTCTTCTGCAAGTTTCTCTTCAGTCTCTTGGATGTCAGCAAGCACATTGACTCTGACCATCAGTTCATCCTCTACTCCCATCAATGCTTTTATGTAAACATCAGGTGCTATTTTCAGAGGGATCTGAACAACTGTACCAATGCAAGGAAGAGACACCTTAGAGAGTTAAACATTCCAAAATGCAAGAGGGAAACACGATGCTTCTTTCTGCTTTGCCTAAGGTATATTTATTTATTTATCGGTTTTCTATCCCGCCCTTTTCTTTTTTTAAAGAACTCAAAGTGGCTTACATCATTTTTCTCCTCCTGCTCCCCATCTTATCTGCACAACAACAACCCTGTGAGGTAGGCTGGGCTGAGAGTCTGTGACTGGCCCTACTGATGTTGACTACTTCCAGCTGGGGGAACATTACAAGTAAATGGAGGGCCTAACTGAGTGATGAAGAGGACTCTTCCAATAGGGGAGGCTAAGGCAGTACACCTTGTTTTATGACTCCCCCACTTCTTTCCTAACAGAGACACTCAGAGGGACAGTGTTTGAGGCCTTCCTCCTCCAGAGCCAGGCTGAGTAAATGTAGATGTCTATGTATTTTGGACTCCAGCTCCTGGAAGGACCTGCCGGCAAGGGCAATGTCCAGGAATGTAGGGAGCTGAAATCCCAGCCATCTGTAGAGCTACTTTCTGCCAGTTCCACTCTAGAAAAGTGGACAGCCATCATAATCAAAGTAGCATGTGGAAGATGACCACGTTTCTTTGCATACATACCTGGCTTGCCTTCTGTTTGGACAACCTGCTTGATAGTAGCCAGACTCTCCTCTACTTTCCCAGTGTATGATTCCAGTTGGCAAGAGGCAGCAAAATGGACTGTCCAGTCACCCGCAGATTCATTTTTTACAACAATATTCAGATCAATGGGCTGCCCTGGCCACAGTGCTTTTTCACTTTCCATCTCAACTTTCAGGGCAGCCTTACAGTCTTTTGCCTGGTCCTTATCGAAAGTGTCTGCCAGACTGTCACACTGCAGATACTTGCAAGCATTTTCCACAGCTTTCCTTTCCTCGGGATCACCTAAAAACAGGGAAAGAACAAACCAGGAACACTGCGATCCCTGCAAGATCATTTATGATTTTCATCAAACGCAATGTGTGTGGCAGGCATTGCTCTCCCTTTCCCAGGATTAAGAAATGCCAGATGTCAAGTTTCTTCCTATGCATTTGACAGGGCGCAGCTTCCAAATCTAACTTTCTGAGGAGTATAGTATGTTACATGTATTTTAATGCACATATTTGTCTCATTCATAAGTTAAATTAGTAACATTCAGAAAGTTAACTAGATCTTATACCAGATCACTTCATATCTGATGCTTTTTTAAGATGCACTCCTATGCATGGTTATGATTTAAAAAATGCTACAATTCTTAGCCTGGCTGTCTGGGGGGTGCTGGCAATTGTAGTTTTATTTTTTTTAAGCATGCATAGGATTTTGCTATTAGTGACTATTAATTCTGGCTCGCCCATTTGAAAAAACTTGATTTTTTCTTTTTACTCATTTCAAATGATAGAAGCTATCCATGAATCTTTCACAAAAAAGCCCTAAGCCATTACTTTATGTGGAAAATAATAATTTCCTCTCTGGCTGAAAAGATACGATGAAAAGATACCTTCTGAAAATTTGTACTGGGCAGTGATGTCTTCGCGGATATTTTTTCCAACCGCTTTAGTGCTGATGTTCTTTCCTATCACTTTGGTTTCTTCACGCAGCTTGACATATTTTTCTGCGCCCTTCTTATTTTTTACCAGCCAAAAGACTTTATCTGCATTAACTTCAGCAAACAAGAACTTGCCGTCATAGGGAAGGTAGACATCACCATTTTTGATGGCTTTTAGTGGACAAGGGCCACATTGGTAAATTCCTATAGAGAAGGACATTATCTGTTTTTATTTCTGAATTCGGAGCCTGTGGGATACTCACATCATACAGTGCGTTGCTGCTCTGTATTCAGAGCCCATGGCTGGTAAAATAGTATCTCTATCCAGAATTCTATGACAGATAAAGAATAGACAACAACCAAGGTTCTAGTTTGTAATATGCTGCTTCCCATTTTCACACAGAGATTTGCAGATTCCTGCAGCCTCTGATTTTACAAGTTTGTGGAATGATTTGCAGCAGAAAACTTCTGTGGACTTTCTGACAAGCACTGTGCCTAATGGAGTCTCAGTGTAGCAGGACAAACAGAGACCGAATGCATTGCAGAAATGCACATACCACATTTTGAACAAAACAGACAATCAAACAAACCAGGTGACATCGCCTTGCATTGCATGGCATGGAAGGAAACATTTTGATGTTTTGCTAGAAGGGATGTTCAGAGACACTTAGCGTTCCCCTCTACCAGGTCAGGATATGAATGTTTTTACACAGACTAAGAAAAGCCTATTTCCCACTTTAGCTTTTCATTCTCCCCATGTGTTTGGTCTCCCTACATTTGCATTTCAAATATGTCTCCTTCTACTTTCCCCAGTTCTGTCAGATGAAAGCGCTGATAAATAATCCCACATTTATTCTGCATGTTCACTTTGAGTAGCCATGGTTGCAATTCCCAGCTCAGAAGGTGCTGTCAGGAATCTTCTTTTATCTCTATAGAAACAAGCTAGCATATATAGTGGCTAATATTAGCAGCAGAAAATGATTCCCAAGTCTTGCCTCTTTTCTGTTAGGTGCAGTATCTGCTTTCACATATAGCATTGAAATCTGAGCTCTACATAAAGAACTCATTTCCTATGTTTCTACTAAATAACCACCAGCTGGCACTGTGCTATTGCAGAATATTGTAATTACACAAGTAGGAAGGTAACTGTATGTTGCTTTTGGAAATAATACTCCATTTTCCCCATTCTAAAACACACATGTGCACCCCCCCCCCCCAAATGGTCTTCAAAAACAAAAGCGAAACTGAAGGATCACAATGTCTCAAACATGTATAAACAACAAAGGAATCATGAAGGCACAATAAATGCCACAGGTGGAAAAATTCTTGTTGATCATGAGCCATAAACTGAGGACATTGATATTAAGATTTTGCTCAGATGGGAGCTTGACACGTTGCTACTTCACCTGTATATTGCTAAATGTGAGGGGAAAAGCATGAGAGAAAGGCAGGTGGTCGCCTGGTGTACCAGTTGACATTTCTTCATGGGGACTGAACCACTCTGATGGATGAGCCACTCCATGGGAACTGATGGATGCTTCATCCATCCGTAAGAATATTAGGGATCAGTGTGGTAGCCATGTAGGTTGGTACACTGAACCAGTGCTTAATATAACCAATTTTTAAACTTGGATTTGCTTGTGCTAGTGTGTCAAACCCTACCTTGGCTCGCTTCTTGAGGGGTGGAATCAATCGCCTGCCAGCCATCAAAGCCCTTTGGTAAGTCTGGCCTTTTCATCCACACATCATTCCAGACGTGGAAGTTCCTGGTTAGGTTTCATAATTGAAAACAAAACATTTGTATCAACTCTGGTTTATAAGCTAGAACAGTCAACATATATTAGAGGACATAGGTAGGCATAAATAAGAATTGACCACCTGGTGTAACTTAATGCAATCTGGAAAAGGAATGCATGAAGTCAGTCTGTCGATCTATCTAGAGCCTGGCTCCATACCTTTTGGACCTAGCCTTGCCCCCATTGCCTTTGGCCAGCCCCACTGGAAAGTTGTCCCCCACAGCCTCTCTGAAATAGAATTCAGTCCTCAGGCTTAAAGAGCTACCCACCCAAACTCAACATCCAGGGCCCCAGGCTGGGGAAGGATGCTGTAAGCCAAGGTGGTCCAACATGCAGCCCACAGGCCAGATGTGGCCCCTGAGGTCTTGAGCTCTGCTGGAGTCCCCCTGTCGCCCCCGTCCCCCAGTCTGGATCCCAGCAACGCCACTGGCATGATTGCAGCAAGCCCTCCCAAGGCCTCCATCCCATCCTGCTGCCTTTCTTGGGTTCAGAAAGAGAGTGGGCCTCCGGAGAGCCTCTCCCAGCATGCCCCATGTCGCTCCAACTGAGGAATGCAAAGGCACTCAGGAGCTGAGCATCTTTGTGCTCATCAGCAGGAGCAGGCAGGGCATGCTGCGGAGAGTTCATCTGCTCAGGTCAAAATCTAAAATGCCGTGATTTAGAAATGTAAGACTTTAATGGTCAAAAACTGGCCCATACTTTTCAAAAGATATTAATGGGCACCGAAATGCCTACTCATGAGTAGACATTCAACTGTCTTTAACTTGTACCTAATACAAATGAGTAGAATGAGGAGAGGAGCATATTCAGTGCCAGAAGCATGAAGAGCTTGGATTCCCTTGCTTCAACGCTAATATTTTCCTAAGAGAATTTCAGAAAACCTTAAATTAGTGATGATTACCAAATAGAATCCCTCGACAATCTGCTCAGCTTTTCCCCATTTTCATTCAGGTAAACATCAACTCTAAGATTTTGGTCTGTATCATGAGCTGACGCAAAATTGGTCACACTTCTAGCTGGAATCCCCAGGCTGCGCATAACTGAAATAAAAATAAAGAAAGCAGTTCTAAATGGTTTGGTTGTGAGGCTCCCTTCGGCAGCATCCATGCCCTACAGAGTCCAGGACTCCATCTAGAGTTTCTCTAAACTGTAGAAGAGCCTTCTGCAACCTTGCACTTTCCACAGATGAGTTGGGATATGATTCACTCCATCCCCAGAAGCCATGGGCCATGCTGGCCAAGGGTGGTGGGAATTGTAGCTCAAAACATCTGGAGGGTGCTGGATTGGGGAAAGCTTCCTTAGAACCCAAGGGATGGATCATGGTAGGGAAAGGACTGGATTTCATCCCCAGCTGGTATAAGGCACAGCTGGTGGCCACAAAAGCATAAATGCTGGAGTGAGTTTGGTGGCTATCCTGTGCCACAGTTTGTTAAAATTTTAAAACATAAGAAGACCTGGATCAGACCAAGAGTCTATCTTTCTAGCCCAACAGTTTGCTTTCAAAAGTGACTAGCCAGGCATCTCAGAGGAAGCCTACAAGCAGCAGGCTGGTCTTGAAGTATTTGCCAGGAACTGGGACTCCAAGATAGGAAACCTCTGGCCATGGAAGTTTCACATATTAATCAAGAACCTAAGCACTATAACATAAACGCGTGCGTTTCAGAAGAGTTGGGCACCTGCAAGACAGCTGCAGACCTTACCTGTAGTGAGCACGCCAGAGAAAACCCAGCACTGGGCGTAAAGGACTATTGTTTTGGTTCTGTAATACTGCTGCAAAATTGGGACACTTCCTGTCCAAGCCAGCGGAGGAGTACCACCAGGATAATGTCCTGACCAGTTAGCAAATAACACTCCATGATCGTCCTCAGAGTTAACCTAAGAAACAGATGGGAAGAACAAATCAAGACAGCTTGCCTGCCTCTGCATTCTGTAACAGCTCTACCATTGATAGAGGAACCCCTGACGGAGCCATCTAAGCTCACTAGCAGAAATCTCATTCTGTGTTTCAACACCCTAGATCAAGAGGGTCCTGTTTTTCTAATAAACCATTATTTGTATTGCAATTTGGAGAATGATTCCTTTGAATCTGGAAGACCAATATCATGTGGCATGTTTGTGCAACATGTTTGTTAACTGCGTGACTCCACAGTCCTGGATCAACTTTTATTTATCCATGGGATCCATGCATAGCAACATATGTTGTGCTAGGTGTCTGGGCACTGCAGAAACAGTTTCTGTAGCTCCAGTTACCTCACCATTCGAGGCCCTTTTCCTCATTTCTGAAAGTGTATTTTGGAACAGCACATTAGTGATAGCAGATGATCTGTGTTAAGAGAAAATGAAGAAAAGCTCTACAATAATATGGCTGCTAAAAGCCTGATGCCATTAAAAACAGCTTTGGACTTAATATGGGATTCTACATTACAAGCCTTGCTTCCTGGGTATGCCTCAGAAATGCTGAAGTGGCAGTCCTGAAAGTCTTCCTTTGGGGGCACACTTTAGACATGGCAATGCTTACCTGTTCAGAAGGTTCTTCTCTAACTCCATGTAATATTTTTGTTTTATTCTCACGTGCCTTTAGCAAACTACCAATGTGACCGCCCCACCTGATTCCCCACCCTCCCCCCAACAATGTATGTAACTGGTAGGTTATAAAGGCATCTTGCTGGGACTCCATCTTGGTAGCCCCTTCGGGGGGCTGCCTGCATGCCACATGTATTTCCTGTTTGTCTGAAGAAACTGCTAATGTTCTTTTGATTGTACACCCCCATAAAAGGAGCTTATAGCTTTCTTTTCCCAGACCTACAATAAACTGATTTGTGTTCAAACATTGATTTAAGGATGTACCAAAGCTGACATGGCCCTGGAGATGATCACGGGATTTTTTCTAGCGTTTGGCTTGAGTTTGCTCTTATCCAGAAGATACATGCAGCAATCCAAGACCTCTTCCTCAAACTGTTACAAAAGAAAGCAAGTTTGGTCACATTCAAGTTGATCCTCAGAGAAAAGTCCCCTTTCCTTTAATTAATACAATATAAAGCAGCTGTTGTGATTTTAATACTAGAGTTTCAGATGTGAGATCTCCTCTGCTGATAGCCAGTAAGAAGTGACTGATGGAAACATCCTTGCACAGCAGGAAATGCTATTTAAATAGGGTGCACAGTGGCAAATAAAAATAATATTTAATCCAGGAAACCTAAGCAGGCCAGTGCTGATAGCTTTTCATGCAGACATTATAATGTTCCTTATGTTATGTTCCTACCTGACCACTAAGAGTGGCTTTAGAGGTCCTTCTCAAGGAGCCACTCCCTAAAGAGGGGAGGGGGTGGTAAAGAGGAGAAGGGTCTTTTTGGTGGTTGCACCCAATCTTGCAATATGCTCCCCAGAGAAGTATGCTTAATGTCCTCATTGTTATCTTTCTGGTCCAAGGCAAAGACTTTTTTTATTCCCCAGACATTTTATTTTTTTTTATTCCCCAGACATTTTAACAACTGTTGAATTAATATTTTATATTTTAAAGGAAATTTTAATGACTGTTTCTATCACCTCTGTGGCTGAGGAAAATTTACTGACTGTGGCAGCTATCTGTTAGAGCATAGAGTATTTTTGTGGGGTTATGGGAGCAGTATATAAATATAAATAAATAGTCTAAATATACTCCTTCTTAATGCACAAAACATATTATACCAGAGCATCAGACATTCATTCTCTAAAGACCAAACTGCCCATCAAGAATTGCCAACTGTATATCAATGTCTACCTGCCCCTAGTGGTGGGAATAAACTATGCTTAAGCTTACATGGAAAAGAGGTAAGTATAATTTTATCAGGATGTCTATGAGCTCCTGGCATCATCCTGTGCAGGCTGGGAGGATCAGTGCAGGTTTTCTTCACCTCTCCATCCTCCTGCCCTGCATTTTTCACCATGCTGGCTTCTTGGCTGCTTGGGCAGCCCTGTTTCAGCAGAAAAGAGAAGGAGGTTGGAGAGCCTCAGGGTGGCTCGCCTCCCAGGCTTCAAGGGGAGCAGAACTGGAACGCCACTCAGACCTTATATTTTCCTCCAACACAGTTGGAAAATTGTCCCACAAGATATTTACAACAGTTTGAAGACATGTCTCAGGAGCACTTACCAGAATGGTAGGCCTGCCCTGCATGTGCTTCAGGGTTCATATCCACACAATTATGTGGATACAAGCTATGTGCTATCTATGGCAGAAGCATGGCCTGAATACTAGGATCTCTGTCTCTCAGTTCTGCTGCTGGAGTAGGCTGGAAAGGCTGTCTTTTTGTTTTCTTGGCAAGCATTCATGCTGCTGCTTTCTTCATTTGTTTCCACCATATTTAGATACACACTTAATTAAGCAAATTGGGTGACAGGGCATTCTTATACCTGGACAGACAGAGCGAACTAAGGGATCTTTACCTGCCCGAAATTCCAAGGTCTTCCAAGTATATTTTTTGCTGATCCAACATAGATATAGCCAGTATCGTTCAGCACGTACTCAGCTCTCTCATCGTCGTTGGGCATGAAAACAGTATCCGCTAAAGCAAACATATGAGTGAACTGTTTGGTTTTAGAGTCAATTGTCAAAAGAGAAACATTCTCGTGGTTGGGTTAGGGTTAGGGTATTTGTGGCATAAGAGATTCCAGCAGACTTTCAAATAAGATGGCTGATATACTTAATGAACTATAGATTTGTGCTCTGGTTTTCTAATTGCACTGCCATTCACATGGCATGATTGGCTTGCTCTGGGTTATTTAACTCACATTGAGCTGTGGGGTGTGCCAGGATCCTGCCATGGCCATTTCGAATATGCAATCCTCAATCTGGCTAATTGGAGACTGTGCTGAGTCACAAGAACCTGGTCATTGTGGGTTATCCAAGCAGTAAGCAACCCTTGCTTACCTCCCACTGCAAAAAGTTGTTTAAGCAAGGGCTGTTTAACCCTTGAATAAGCCATGATGACTAAGTTCGAGTGGTATAATGGAACAGCTGATTGTCTCAGTTAGGAGTTGTGCAATCAAAATGGTGGCCACACATATCCAGCAGCTCAGGGTGAATTAAATAACCCATAATAAGCCAGCTGAGTCATGCAAACAGGCGCTTGCATGTTTACCAGTTCAAGATCTTAACACATTTGGACTATTCAGCGCTTCACAGGGGTTTTTTTTTTTAATTATGCAATTCCACAAGAACATTAGACAGGTGTTAGAAAAGTGCACCTGACTTCAGCCACCCACCCAAAAGGACGCTCAGACAGCAATAAGCTAGAGCTGCTTTGCCTACTGCATGCTAACTGTTCACATACAGTAAGACTGAGCAAGAAATGTCTTACAGTATATTAGGTGTCCCACCCATAGTGATACAGGCAAGGAAAATGTGTATTGTGTGAGCAGACCATGGGTTCAGTTGATCTTATTATCAAAAACACAATTGTAGACTGAGAAGGCATGCATGGTTTTGCTTTGTTTTGGCTATGGTTGTCCATGCCTGTCCACAGCTAGCTGGGAAACCCTGGGGAGCTGTGAGACTTCTTTCTCTCTGAACATGAATATGACTGCATCTTTTTGTTTTAAGATAGCAAGTCTCTGATTGCTGCAAAGGAGACCGGCGTTTGGACAGAAAAGAGTTAAGGAATCCAGGAGGAGAGAACTGTGGTTTTCTTTTTCTTTTAATAAGTTGAGTCAGCCAGTAGATGTGTCCAGGTAGAAAAAGACTGCAGTTCTGAGGGAATGTGGGGCTGAGACACAGAGAAAGGGCTGAGATGGATTTTGCGCTCTGGCAAGCAAAAACCATTTGGAAACAGCTGCTTGCTTTGTTGGCATGTTACACTGTCCCTTCATCTATGCTGAACTTATATTTTTGAAAAAGCAACTCAGCTATTACAGAGATCCCTGAAGTGTCCAATAATTTCTTTCTGCAAAGGAAACCAAATTGTGAAGCTTCTTGCATCTCCACTTGGAAGATGAGATGCAAGAAACTATATTGTTGGGAGCAGTGAATAACTCTGCTTAGGAAATGGTATATACCTGGGTGCAGAAGGGCCCAATAGAGACTGACCATTCTTCAGCTAGACAGAGTTGTGAATGCGGAGGCAAAACCAGAGAAAGGAACAACATTCTGGCTTCGGTTGCTTCTCAGAAGCACTTCTGCTGCCAGCTGTAAATCTGACTGTGTTGCTTTGTCCATCTGACTGCCTCACAAACAGCCGATGAAATAGCTGGGATCTCCACCAGCAACAATGCAAGCTATTTTGTCCTGTGCTGTTCTCCATGGTTCTTCCTATTCACACATACAGGATCGCATGTGTACTGCTTAGACTGAGTAACCATTATCCACTGACCTCAGGAACACTCAGATCAGAGCCCTCCTGGATTGGACCAAAGGCTTTGCTGTCTCAGCATCCTGCATCCCATTTGAGCCAACAGGGCACCCGTGGAAAGCCCAAATGCCCGCCAGTAGCTGTCGTTCCCTTGTGACTGGTATTCAGGGCCATGAAGGCAGAGGGCTGGATCCAGACCTAGGCATTCTTAGAGCAGATCCACCCAAACCTTCTTGGTTTGCAATTCCAAGTGCTTTCAAGTATGACCCATCGAGACCCAGACCAACATATGGCAAACCTGACCTGAAACTACTGTTCAAATATGCCTCTATGAAAGGAGACCATATCTTGCTGGAAGGCTTTTAGTCTCTGTTTTTCTGCTGAATTGTGCCCCTGCTTATGCTTGTGAGACAATAATTATATTGTGAGAACCAGAAACAAAAATATAGCTTTCACAGTCTGATAGCCCTTATTGCATATTGTTATACCTCTTTTGGAATCATCATAGGAACAAGTTCTGCTGTTTTTTATGAGAAAAAGAATCTAAACATTTATTTTAATCAATCTTACATAGGAGTCATAGAAATTAAACCTGTTTAGGTTCATGTTAATTACCTTCACACCAAGGGTTAAACAAAATGTAGACAAAATTATTATTAGGACTGTAAATGTTAGATCCTGTTTTCACTTTCAGAAGGTATTTTCCAATAATTGCATCTGCTGGGCTGGATACAGTTATCAGGCACTAAGAAAAACACAAGATCATCATGGTATTACAGAGCATTATGTGATAAATCAGGTATCCCACTGCTTTGTGCAAATGAGAAGGCACTGTAGTCAGTGAAAGCAGCAGATGCTCTAGGAAGCGTGTTGAGGGAATTTCAGGGTGGCTCAAATGCACCAGTAATGCCTTCGTGTTTCTCAGTCGATTTGTTTTGGCTGCGTAATTGGTGGCACTCACAACAGGAGACCACCGCTAAAGGCAGTGATGATTATTGGATCTTTTTCTTGGGCATGTATTAGTCTATGCAAAACCTTGATCTAAGCCAGATTGTGCAGGAAACTGATTTCCTCTTTCTCCTGTTCTTAACATCCCCTGATGAAAAGTCGAGCACTCAGGAGCAAATCAGGACTTTTTAATTAAAGATGTTTAATAACTGACTTTTGAAATAGAGTCTTCCCAGCTTTTGTAACATGAGTACTTGGCCCTATCTATAAGCATATGGTCTAAGAATGGGAACTAGGCAGCAATTTCATTTCCAGTCCTTCAATATTGTATTAATCTTTCTTAATTCCCGGCCCCTTTGGGCACCGGATCCATGAAGGGCATTGCAAAGGATACTAGTGAAAGGTTCACCATGAAGTAGCATTTGTCATGTCACATGTTTTAAACTATCTTCTCTGGGCCAACCAAACCAACTCTAAGCTTTGGAGGGCCCTGGAGGAGGGCCAGTCCATGGGCCCCTTCCCATAGCGAGCTCAGCACCATTAGCACCAGCTGCAATTGCTTTTCACGTTGCCACCACTCCCTTGCTTGAGGTGAGAGGACCCCAGAATGAGCAAGCAAGCAGTCCCTTGAACCGCATGCTCCTCAGCACCTTCTCAGTCTGGGCCAGAATGAAAGGCAGGTGGAGAAGCAGCTTGCAATGGTGAAGAGGAAAAGCAGCTCTGGGGTCCCTTGTCAAGGGGCCCCTCATGGACTGCAGGCCTTAACAGGTACCCAACCATGCCTCCTCTCCACACCAGCCCTAGTGAGAGCCCTAATGTGTAAATCAAAAATGGCAGAGCATCCCAAGCACATGTACCTCCTTCCCATCTGTTTTATGTATATCAGCATGCCATTGGTGGCCACGCTTTCCTGACCTTGCATTCAGGGATATAAAAGTTCCATTGGATTTCATTGGTTTTTCACCTGAAAGAGTACAAACAGATAAAGAGTTACATTAACAAAGTAGTTTGTTTTTATCCCCTGCCTTTGAGGAACATTCTAATACACCACTGGCACCCTCTGCCATGGGAATCAAGCGGTGTACAAATGGCCCTATATCCTACTGGGTTATGTTTGGTCTCTTTATTGAATAGAAGAAGATGGCGAGGAGAAAAGCACCAATAAAACTGTTTTAGTAGTTCTGATGCACACGGAAAACAGATTATGAATCCAATTTGGTATCTGATGTAGAACTGAGACGAAATCATTTAAACAAAGATGAAGTGTTGGGTTCAGATCCAGGCATAGCTAGAGCAGATGCACTGAAATTAATGGGGCTGAAATCCAGCATGGAGAATTTCAATGGTTTTAACTATTATGGTTGTGCAGTGCAGAAAAGATCTTAAAAATGAGCAGTGTGTATTGTTGTCCTTCTAGTGCATGATGGTTTGAGAAAATATGATATTAGTAAAGGTAACCAAGTTTCAACCTATTCAGAGTTTGGCTGGGAGATTACCTGGATATCTCATGGACTACCTGAAGGAAGATGGGATATCAATGTAAAACACAATTATGTGACTCCTCCTCTGTTTCCCCTCCTCCCTAGTGGTCCATCTGGCCTTCCCTTATCAACTTGAGTCTTATTAATATATCTGCATTCTGAGAAACGAGCCTTCAATTTGAAATAATAAACCATTCATGAATTAAAATAATCCTTTATGACTTTGCTTGAACTTGTACAATATGTTGTGACTGACAAGTTTAGGATATATTGTTGTGTCATGTGAACCAGGCCACTGCAGTGGACCAAACGTGGCTTGCTTACCAATGCTGAGCTGTAGTTTGACTTGGTCATTGTCTTTCAGCAGCCTGTTAAATGTCACCTTCAAGCAAAAAGGCTGCCCATGTCTCGCAATCAGGCTCTTGTTGTTATAGGCATTGGTATGATGGAGACGGGTGTTCTCTTCTCTGAGGAAATCAACCCCAAGAGCCTTCAGAGGATCCGCTGAAAATGACAACACAGAAATATTGGCCCTGTTTTTGACATACCAGTTACTCTCTGAAAGACCAGTTTGATCAATACTGCGGTTTTCAAAGTTTAAATGTAAAGCCTATACAATGGTGATTTCTTGTGTGTGTGTGTGTGTATGAAATTGGCAGGAAAAGCTTATCTTACCACTTTGACTGTAACATCCTTATGTCATTTGACCAGACTTTAGGCACAGATACTATCCCCTTTCTCTTCTCTGCCACTTTCCTTTGGCCAGCTACAATTCCCTCTGTCATCATTATTGGGCAATAAACACACAATTTCTCTGCATGGAGTAATTTCCTAGATGGTGCTGTTATTTGCTAAAGAAGCCTAGTTCTGCTCAACACCACAGCTCCAGCCTGTGACGGGCAATGGAATGTCGTTGGAGGTCATGGATCTAGTGCCCGCTCAGCCCTGAAGCTCTCTGGGTGACTTCGGGCCATTCACAGACTTTTAGCCCAGCCTACATCACAGGGCTGTTGTGATAAAATAAAATGTAAGCTGCCTTGGGTTCCTCACAAGAGGCAGGGTATAAATACAATCTGGTGTTGCTGTTGCTGGAAATCCTGACATGATGGAGGTGTTGTGGGTAGATGTTTTCCATTTCTTAGGAACTGGCATTCCTCATGTTCTGGAGAGCTTGCAATCCTGCAAAAGAACAGTTTGCAGCTTGATGTTTCTTCTGGAGACACCTTCATCTGCCGAGGTCCAAAGTGGGGTACAGAGTGCTCTTAGCAGCTAGTGGCTGGGCCATCAACTGTGTGGTAACTATGAAAGCATCTCTGCTGATTTTTATATTGCAATTTTTATATTATATATTCAATATTGCAAAGCTTCCTTTGTCCAGAGTCATTCAATTAGTGTAGAACACAGCTGCCAAAAATTTAACTGGTACAGATCCTATCCTGTCAGTTTTAAGAGAAGTGCACTGTCTGCCTGTTAATTTCTGAGCCAAATCCGAGGTGCTACAGCTTACCTTCAAAACCTTAGATAGCTTCTGACCTGGCTGGAGACTCAGGCATTTCCACATGAATGCCTGCACTGAAAGATCCTTTGCTGAAGATGTCCTTTCCCAGCGCCACCTCCTTTGAAGTGGAGGCATATTCTGATTAGGCATTTTTGGCTGCAGCTTTCAAGTCACCCACACATTTTAAGTTTTATGAGTGTTGATCTGCTGCTTTTATCTCTGGGTTTTATAGTATTAGTGGGGCTGTACTTGTAATCATAGAAAAGTAGAGTTGGAATGTGCTGTCAAGGCCATTGGGTCCAACTGCCTGCTCTTACAGGACAGCAGGTTACACCATCCCATTCAGATGGCTGTCCAGATGCTTTTTGAATGCCCCCAGAGAGGGAGAACCCGTAACTTCCTCAGGTAACAGGTTCCATTGTATACTGCTCTGATAGAGAGGATGTTCTTCCTGGTGCCTAGTCTAAATCTTTTTTTTTTTTTTGCTTAAGTCTGCTAAGAATGGAATTCAACAGGGACAAATGCCAAGTTCTCCACCTAAGCAATCAATCAATCAATGTAAATATAAGATGGGGAATACTTGGCTCAACCACACTGAGAGTGAAAGGGACATTGAGTTGTTGTAGACAAGCTACATATGAGCCAGCAGTGTGGTGCAGCCACAAAAAAGGCAAAGACTAGCTCTGTTTCCATGTTGGGTGGACAAAGACGGGGCTTCTCCTGTGGCCCTCACTATGGAAATTCAGTGGGTTGGTGGAGGATGGAGAGAGCACCCGATCTTCCTCTTGGGTGCCTGCTAATGGGCAGCAAGCCAAAGCTGCATTTGCAAACTGGCTGTAGAAGAAGGGGCCTCCCAAATTCTGCAGCTAGAATGCAAACACAGGTTACTAAACTCTTTGAGGTGCCTGATCAGGGTGCAGAGTGGGAAGAGGGGCAGAGGCCACATGAGTAGCCTTGTCCAGCAGATTTCTCTGCTTTTCAACCCATCTAGCTAGCATGCTTTGGCGGATGAGGGGAGAGGAGGCTGGAATGGGTGTGGGGTACATCATACTCTGGCCTCTGTGGCCTCCCTCTCTTCCCATGCACCAGAATGCTCCATTTCTCCCTTTGTGAGATCCAGTTTCCAGTCTTGATCTCCTGCAAAATAGCTGGCAACAAAACTCAGTGCCAGTGAATTAGATTTTAAATCCATCCTAAGAAGGGTTACAGGGATGTACTTTCATTTTAGCTTGCACCTGATTCTAAGTAAAACATCCGAGGTTATAGTTCAGTGGAGCAGATCAATGGGTGGACCATTGGATTTGCAGCTGTCACTCAACAGAAAACCTTTCTTTCCAGCTTACTGTCATTCTGATATTTATTAACACTGGCAGAAGTGGGATTGTTTTTCAGACAGAAGCTGGCCCTCTTCCTTGAACTGATCTGTTGCAGGAGGAACAGAAACCAACAGTTTTCTGCTGTGTGGCCATTCCAAAGAAAGGAGAGCAGTTTCACCTCTTCTCGTCTATTCTGTTTCCCTGCGGCCTTAAGCGATACTTGCACAGATCTTTGGCTCTGATGCAGTTATTTCCTGGCCGTTTGCATCTGACCGAGGTCCTTTTTAATGTCTTAAAATGCCTGTTTTAAACTGTTCTTCCTGCTATATGCCAAGAAATTAGACTTGGTTTCCACAGCATGACAACATTTCTGCAGCCCCTCAATGGCTCACTTTCCTCTGAAAATAGAAGGAAGAGTTTCTGCTTACATCTGGGAGCAAAAATATCCTTTATGTTGAATGCATGGCTTGCAACAATGTCTGGGTTTAAACAAGCATTAATAGGCACCCATTTTTATTGGGACAGCAGCACTGGGAGATGGACAGTTGGAACCTCTGGAGCTGACGGAAACTTGTTTTACTGTTATTTGCAGCAGCTGGGTGGCTTTTTTAAGAGCATGGCTGCAGTCAGGGGGGATAATTAAATCCTCCTTCACACGTACTAGTCCCATGAAAAACATCAGCAACAATGAAACTTAATGTTGCAGTAAGAAGGCATTTAATAATGTATGTGTTTCTGCCAAAATACTACCTTTTAAAAAACGCACTACTGATGAAAAGGGCATGGAGGGACAAAGAAGCAGCTAGTAATTTTCCTGAATATCTACAGCAATTATCTAAAGAAATGAATAGATTTACTCCCACAATTAGCATGCTTCCTTTCTAAAGGCAATAAAAGGGAGATCACTAATGTTTTTGTTCTGGTAAACCAAAACAAGACTAGGAAATGTGGACTATTCATCTGGCAGTGCAAAAATACGCCTAAGAGAAAATCCCCTCTCTGTAATTAGTCACAATATCTTGTCCATCAAAGACTGTACACATGAACAATCAGCATCAGACAATGCACCCCACGTCAATTGTGGTTTAGAGCATACTTGACATACCTCTCAGCCAGATTTCCCACGTCACCGCAGCTGAAATTCTATACTCGCCTAACAAGCTCTGAGGATCTCTGTAAGACTGACTTAGGTGTACACATGCATAGGATTGTACTCTTATTGAGCAAACCTGTGCCCAGCTACTCTGAAGTTAGTCCCCTTAAATATAATGGTGCTTACTCACAGGTAAACTGCAGCCAAAATGTTATTTTTAGCCTCTCTGCTGCATGTTGGAAAGATAGGGTACTTCCATCTTTTGAACTGTTATCATTGACACATGCATCACCACCACCACCACCACTATTATTGCATTGCACTAATACCCTACCTTTCTCCTCTTGTGAAGAATCCAAAGCAGCTTACAGAGCTGCATCCTTGCAACAGCAGGTTGAACTGAGAGTTGGTGACTAGTGAGCATGATGGCCAGCTGGGGACTAGAACTGAGATCTCCCAGGTCCCCAGTCCAACATTCTTACCACCACACTACACCGTCTCTCTCTCTCTCGCTCCCTCCCTCTCCCCTCAATTAGCAAATTTTTTCATCCCAGTATTTTCTGAACTGTTTCCTTTTTTTTGCAAGAAAACAGTGTTAGTGCCAGAATGGAGAATAATGCAGTACTGAGGCTTTTGAGAGCAACTGTGTCTTTAATTAAATGCTTCCTGTGTTTTAGTTCTGGCCATTTTCCTGCTGTGTGGCTGAAGGAATAATAATGACTTGCTGCTGAATTACTCAGCTTCTGTTCCCTGTGTATTTGATTTCATGCTATTTCACTATGAATAAAAAGGAAAAATAATGCAGGGAAATCAGTAATTAATCTCCATACACACTTGCCATAGGGAATGTAAGTGGACTAATTTTGGGCAAGTTAACATTCATGAACAGAGTGCAATGAAACAGAAGAACGAAAAATGGAAATTTAAT